CACCTGAAGCTACCTCATCTCCTATAATCCCTCAAGCTTCGTCTGAGATTGTGGATCCACCTTTACGTCAATCCACATGCATTCGTAAGTCCACAAAGTTACCAGATTTTACTTATTCTTGTTATTCTTCATCTTTTACTTCCTTTTTAGCTTCTATTCATTGTCTCTCTACGCCCTCTTCCTATAAAGAGGCAATTCTTAACCCTCTTTGGCAGCAAACTATAGATGAGGAACTTTCTGTTTTGCATAAGACAGGTACTTGGGATTTGGTTCCTTTACCTCCTGGTAAGAGTGTTGTTGGTTGTCGTTGGGTTTATAAGATTAAGACCAATTCTGATAGATCTGTTGAGCAATACAAAGCTAGGTTAGTTGCAAAAGGGTACTCTCAACAGTATGGTATGGATTATGAGGAGACATTTGCTCTTGTTGCAAAAATGACTACTATTCGTACTCTTATTGCAGTTGCTTCGGTTCGTCAATGGCATATCTCTCAACTTGATGTTAAAAATGCCTTCTTGAATGGGGATCTTCAAGATTATATGGCTCCCCCCTCCTAGTGTTTCACATGATTCTGGGCGTGTCTGCAAGCTCAAGAAAGCGTTATATGGTCTCAAACAAGCACCTCGTGCTTGGTTTGAGAAATTTTCTGTTGTGATCTCTTCCCTTGGGTTTACTTCTAGTAGTCATGATTCTGCTCTTTTTGTTGAGTGCACTAATGCAGGTCATATCATTTTGTCTTTATATGTTGATGGCATAATTATTACTAGTGATGATATTAATGGTATTTCAGTTTTGAAGACAGAGTTAGCTAGACAGTTTGAAATGAAGGATTTGGGTTCTCTACGATATTTCTTGGATATTGAGGTAGTCTGCTCACCCAGAGGTTATCTTCTTTCTTAGTCGAAATATGTTANACAGTTTGAAATGAAGGATTTGGGTTCTCTACGATATTTCTTGGATATTGAAGTAGCCTGCTCACCCAGAGGTTATCTTCTTTCTTAGTCGAAATATGTTGCAAATATTCTTGAGCGAGCTAGACTTACTGATAATAAGACTGTAGATACTCCCATTGAGATTAACGCAAAGTATTCTTCTTCTGATGGTTTACCTTTGTCAGATCCTATTTTATACCGTACTATTATTGGGAGCTTGGTATATCTCACTATTACTCATCCAAATATTGCATATGTTGTTCATATTGTTAGTCAGTTTGTTGTTTCTCCTACTACAGTTCATTGGGCAACGGTTCTTCGTATTTTGAGGTATCTTCAGGGTACAATCTTTCAGAGTCTTTTACTTCCATCCACCTCTTCCTTGGAGCTGTGTACATACTCTGATGCTGATCATGGCAGTGATCCCACAGATCGCAAATCTGTTATTGGTTTCTGTATCTTTTTGGGTGATTCTCTTATTTCTTGGAAGAGTAAGAAACAATCTATTGTTTCTCAACCTTCAACCGAAGCAGAATATCGTACGATGACATCTACTACCAAAGAGATTGTTTGGTAACGTTGGTTATTTGCAGATATGGGAGTTTCTCTTTCTCATCTCACTCCTATGTATTGTGACAACCGGAGTTCTATTCAGATTGCTCACAACTTGATTTTTCATGAACGAACTAAGCACATTGAGATCGATTGTCACCTTACTCGTCATCATCTCAAGCATGGCACCATTACTTTGCCCTTTGTTTCTTCTTCTTTGCAGATTGCAGATTTCTTTACCAAGTCGCATTCTATTTCCCGTTTTCGTTTTCTAGTTGAAAAACTCTCGATACTTGTCGCTGCTGCATCATGAGTTTGAGGGGAGATGTTAAGAAATATATGGTTATTTTGTTTATTAAAGATAGAATAGTCCTTTACTTTTCCTGCCTTATTTAGCTTATATATAGTCTCTTTGTATTTAGGTTAATTTATTTCCTTGTATTTAATTGAATTATGCAATATCAATAAAATCCTAACCTCTTCTTTGACATTGTAGGAAATTCTTGCCGCTCCAATTACATCCATTGGAAGATGATACTGAATCGTTGAATAGAGTCATGCGGTCCTCTTTGATGGTGAAATAATTTTATTTTTTTTAAAAAAAAACAAGGTTGAATGGAAGAGTGGACTTTAAAATAGCTGAAAGCTGAAAATTCTCTCCATGTCCCTCGTATAACTAGAAGACTGATTTTGACATTGTAGGAATTACAATCACACTTAAAAACCCCCTTTGTAAACGTCGCTATATATAGCTGAATTTAGTGAGATTCTTTTGCCTATTCTCATTCCTTCCTTGTTGGACTTTGGATTTCCACACGCAACACTTTCTCACTCATTGGGTTTCATTTATGCACATATATGAAATGAAAGAGGCTCAATTGTTTATCCTATCATGGAGTTTCATCTGCTGTTTAAGTAAGAACTAGTTGATTATTGCGTTTTGAGATGCAAGATTTTGACATGGTATACAATTGTGCTATGTAAAGTAGAGATGTCTTACCACACATGTCGTACTATGGTAGCCAATTACCAAATGATAGCGTTAGTTGTAAATACGGAAAAATAGCAAGCTACTTGATTCCATCTTCATGCTGGTTGTTGCCCTGCCTTGTGCCAATCCTTCAATGAGCTCAGCACTCAGGTCCATTTCATAGGGCAACCTCTTGTATAGACAACTCTATTGACCATTTAGGTTTTACGGTCTAAGAATGACGTGAACAGTTTATTGAAGTTTCGTAATTAATACGGTTAAATTTGTGCCTATTTCTAGTTGTCATGTCAGACTAGCTATCGCATTCATATGAGTACTATATGCTTGAACTCTACCACTAGAAAAGTTGTAACCCACACACCAAAAAAATAATAATAATAATAATAACTTAACCATTGGACAGTGGATTTTATTCACTGCCTTCGCCAAAAAAGAAAAAAGAAAAAAGGGAGGGAAGTTGTGAACTCATTGTGTGTGAAATTGGATGATTTAGATTGATGAGTGCATATGCTGGTTGGTGCAGGAGTAAGTTTAAGGGACACTTTATTCCTATAAATAGGGCCTACAGCCGTTTATATTTCTTGGGGTAGATTTATGTATGATGAGAGCATATTAATTGAACTTGGTTATAGTAATAGGAGATGTCATTGTTGCAGAGATACTAAGCAACCCAATAAACATTAACTTGTCAAAACAAAGAGCATTTGCATTTGCAAGTGGTTGGTTTGGAACTGGTCAACACACATAATTGATAAACACATCCATCCACATTCCCTGTCTGTAGGGCAACGTTTTTATAATCTCAAAGCTGCCTAGCTATTCAGAAAGACCTGGATGTCTTATTACCATTCTATTATTCTAGCAAGTGGGCATTATATGCGATTGACCTAAACAGGGGAGTTTTTAAAAGCTCTTGCTCGGTGTGTGGTCTAACGTGACGGGCTGTCCACTTGGTTGATAACTTATCTCAATTCGTATTGTGCCGTTTTGCCGTTTTAAACTATGAATCATATCTTTTTGGAATTCCTTTATTTCTGTGTTCAGAAAAAAACATATGAACCTTGTAGCCCTTAATCAACAACCCGCAACCCAATCGAGAGCCCTTGTTGGCCGTCCTCTCCTACTCTTTCGAACACAGACGTACACGTCCTTCAGCCATGAAGACATTGATAAGAAGGTGACGTGAAGAACTCCAACAGCTTTAGATTATTCTAAACCAATGTCACAAGAAATTTTGGTCGGCAGTTTTTTATTTTTCATGTTTTGTTTCCCACATAGTTTTAAATAATTTCTTATTCCCTTCCTCCTATGGCGTACTGATATTTTTATAATTATTATTAGACAATCAAGCTCTTCTCTATGCCGTCCATAATCAGTCCAGCGTCCACTTGGCACTTCCCGTTAGGGGCTTGTGGCCCACTTTTTAACCATGTCTACCACCCCATACGTGATATGACATCATCAATTGTAAGGTTTCCAAGCCGGCCTCACCTCTTTCTTACTGTATATTACAAATCTCCTCAAAATATCCAAACTGTTTTGTTTTTTTAATTTTTTTAATGTCTTATAATTATGAATTTATGACGAGTGAGTCAAACTACAACCGGGTTGTGTCCCTTTGCATCTTTGACCCGTGTGCCTGCAAGGTAGTTGACACGTATATAAAATTAACAATTAGGAATCACTTTCGGAATGGTGCATAAATTTTTGGTCTTGGTACCTTAATCATCTCCTGAACAGAAATATTTGTAAGTGACAGAGTTTAGTGGGGAGATAGTGGGAGAATCTGTCTGCTTAATAGGAATAAAAGTCATGTGAGAAGAAATTTTACTTCCTTTCTGTACCAATGCAAGGAATCTACGAAAGTCTAGGATGGCATGGGCCATGAAGTACAGTTTTTTCTCCTCCTCCTAGCCTATGGAAAGAGTACTACGCAAGAAATCCTTTGATCAAGAGCCGTAATTATTGGACTGCTTTCTTCTTGTTCAAACCCTGTTTTCCCTTCCTTGTGTTTTCAGTCTCTCTACCTCCACCAACTAGTCTTGTAAATTCAAATTGTTGACAATCTCTGTTCCCCTACAAAAAGTTATGCCTCATTTTTTAGATTGTGTTGTTCAAACTATACATCCATAGGTTATTTGTATTTTTCAACAACCTTTGGCCACTACTTGGATTGGATGCTAAATTTTGATAAGGGTGGGTTGTCATAAGAACCAGAATCAGAATTTTTAAAGATGCTATATGTGCAGAAACAGTAGTACCAAAGAATTGAGTACTTTTGAGTAGATTCGCCCTTTTTTTGTTAGCAAAGAAGGGCCAAGGGAACCTCATGCGGAGATGATCTTGCAAACACAGATCATGTTCTGATTCCTGTGCTTCAAAAAAGGATTCTCTTTTGATAAAGTCCATATCAGATTAAAGTGTGTGTTTTGCGTGCACATGCCCTTTCTTCCCCTCTTCTTTACATCTATTCTGTTTCTTCAATCTTTATTCCATTGTAAAACAATGGCCCTTTTATTGACAAACAAAGCTTTGCATGGTGAATAGAACAGTGATGAACCATAACTTGATTTATGAAAACAGTTTTTGAGTAAAAAACTAAGTAAAAGATTGTCAATAATTCTGAAACTTTGGGACTCAAGTACATAGTTCCATCAGTTAACATCCTTTGCTCTCCAATGTCTTGGTAACAGTTACTGTCATTTTTTTTTTTTCCAACCTCAGAAGCTAAACTGAGTGGCCAAACATCAGATTTCCAAGATGGTTATTCTGATGGGGGGGAGGGGGTTTTGGAAAGCCTCAATTTTACAAATACAAACATACTACTGAGGATGTAGTGCACTAAGGCGGCCATGGTTTAGGGTTTTCTCCTAAAAGTGGTGAAACTATTGCAACTACTACTTTCTTCGTGATCATCTATTTCATTACAAGAGACCTCCGTGATTCCACTCGAACCCGAGGACGAGGAAGCGGGGGCCAAATTCAAATCAGTCTTGTCCTTGGCCAGGAAATCATAGAAAACAGGCATATTGTTCGCCACACTCGGAGGTATGTCACCATTGTGGGATTGTGCGGTCTCATCTTCATTTTTAGTACCTCTTTTCTTCAAAAATATGCGACAGAGCACCCAGTTTTCCTGCATAATTCAACATAAAAACATTAAACTTAAACACAGTATAACATAAATTATAAAATGTAATTGAATAAATTCTCACATGGGTTGAGTTGTTTGCTTGCTGGGTAGTCCTGGCAGTAGTTTCAGGATCTATAATAAGGCGATACTNATTAAACACAGTATAACAAAACCACAGTTGAATGGTTCAGGAATACAATTTCTTAAGTTATGTAATTAATTTAATACTACATAATTAAACAGATAAATTATAAAATGTAATTGAATAAATCCTCACATGGGTTGAGTTGTTTGCTTGCTGGGTAGTCCTGGCAGTGGTTTCAGGATCTATAATAAGGCGATACTCGTGCATGATCCAATCAGTTCTAATCCCATGTGGAGGTTTTCCTCTGTAANCTTAAACACAGTATAACATAAATTATAAAATGTAATTGAATAAATTCTCACATGGGTTGAGTTGTTTGCTTGCTGGGTAGTCCTGGCAGTAGTTTCAGGATCTATAATAAGGCGATACTCGTGCATGATCCAATCAGTTCTAATCCCATGTGGAGGTTTTCCTCTGTAAAAAACCAGAGTCTTTTTCATCCCCACGACTTGGTTACTCCTACAAGTCGCAATCTTTTTGTCTAGTCCAGTGGCCTTCCAATACCCGGAACCAGTTGCTCTGTTTGATCTATTGCCATTTGGGTACTTCACCTCCCTGGTGCTGAAAAAATACCTCTCTTGCTCCGAACCACCTAAACACAATACTTCAATTCTCAGTACAAACTGCTCAAGAATATAAATACATACATACATACGGCTAACACTTTGTCACTTATCAGTCAATTGCTACACTATGTTCTAATGCCACAGTTCAATTGATAAATTGGGTAAAATGTCAGTTAAATGGTATTGTTGTACCGTGTCAAATTACAATCTAATTCGATACGTTTCAGCTATGAATTTTTATCTGTGGACAAATAGAAATATAAAAATTTTGAGGATTTTTTTATTTTGTGCCAACCAACCTGGCAAATCCCAAGGATCGGACTTGCAAACATCAACCTCAGGGATGATAGAAGCCGGCAAGGGGCAAGAAAGCACCTTGCGCTTCAAGTACTGAACAACAAGCTCTTCGTCTGTGGGGTGGAAGCGGAACCCAGGAGGCAATCTAAGCACACCGTTCCTGAGAAAGTTAAGCTTCTCCATCTCAAGAAAAACACCTCACAGACAAAAAAACTCAGCCTGGCCTAAATTCAAACTCAACCCAATTGAGCTTGAATTCTACTAACTTATGTACAGCTCTTAATTATTATAATCCATCCAAGTGAAGAATATGAGTAACAAGACTACAACAAAGAAGAACAAGAACAAGAGGGAACAAGAACTAAGAACTAGAGAGAGGGAGAGAGAGAGAGGGGTGAGGTGAAGGGGTGGTATGTGGAAGGAAAGTGAGGCTTCTTTATAGTAAAGGGGGGTGTCTTGAGGGAATGGGGCCGCTAGACAGAGGGAGAATAGAATAAGAAGAACAAGGCATATGGCGTAAACTAGACTCAATCTCCTTTTACTTTGACGCATTTCTTACAAAATGTTAGAGAGCAAAGTTTCGTTTCCGTGCGAAAAGGTTAAATATTTACAGAGAGCCCAAAACGAAAACATCTAAAACTTTTGCTTAGTTGTGTTCGNAGGGAGGATAGAATAAGAAGAACAAGGCATTTGGCGTAAACTAGACTCAATCTCCTTTTACTTTGACGCATTTCTTACAAAATGTTAGAGAGCAAAGTTTCGTTTCCGTGCGAAAAGGTTAAATATTTACAGAGAGCCCAAAACGAAAACATCTAAAACTTTTGCTTAGTTGTGTTCGACCTCTGTGTATGGGAATAAACGTAACTGTCGAAACGTTTTCTTCTCTCCAATACCCAATACACCTTCAAATATTAAAAAAAAAAAAAAAAAATTTAATCTTAATTTCTTAATCTTATTAAGCCAATTGTTAATCCAATGATAATAATTCATCAAGTTAGTAATGTAAGTAAGTCTTACCCAATGTCTCATCCTTTGAGTTTGATGATTNAATAAACGTAACTGTCGAAACGTTTTCTTCTCTCCAATACCCAATACACCTTCAAATATTGAAAAAAAAAAAAAATTTAAACTTAATTTCTTAATCTTATTAAGCCAATTGTTAATCCAATGATAATAATTCATCAAGTTAGTAATGGAAGTAAGTCTTACCCAATGTCTCATCCTTTGAGTTTGATGATTTTCTCTGAAAATAATTAGTCCTACCTTATATTGGGCAAGTAATTAGACGTATAATAACATATAGCTGTTTGCTGAATTTTTTTGACGTTGGAGAAGGATAATTTAGTCTTTTTGCTTGGGTTTGGTTTCATTGGACCACCGGATGGGCAGATTGGTCATTTTTCGGAAAATATTGCCCCGTAAGGGTGAAGTCATCTGATGTCATGCTTACAGCTGGAGCTCACCCAAGGCGTTAATGGCAGGGAGTTGTATATTGTAAAAAAACAAAAAAACATGAGAATTTCACTCACACCGATTCTAATTTATCATATTTTTAAACACACTTTCTTTATTTTTTGAATTTTAACTGACACCTTCTGTCATCTGTTAGATTAAAAGTATTAATTAAAATATAATTTTACTAAATTCTCCATAATATATTTTAGAAAAAAAATTCATCCACACACTTTTTAAATAAATATATCTTCAATGGAACATCCTCTATTTTTAAAAAAATTTTCCATATTAAAATTTAGGTCTATTAAAATTTGATTCAAGTTAGTTAAAATTTATTTTTTATGTATTAAAATTTGAGTCAATTAAAAATTACATTTTTTATATATTAAAATTTAATATGATTAAAATTTTAGTCGAGGCTCAAATCAAATTTTAATCAACTCGTATTAAATTTTAATTGACTCAAATATTAATACGTAAAAAGCAAATTTTAATCAACTTAAATTGAATTTTAATAAATAAAAAAATATATAAATTTTAATCGAGGCTAACAACTCAAGCANGTAAAAAAACAAAAAAACATGAGAATTTCACTCACACCGATTCTAATTTATCATATTTTTAAACACACTTTCTTTATTTTTTGAATTTTAACTGACACCTTCTGTCATCTGTTAGATTAAAAGTATTAATTAAAATATAATTTTACTAAATTCTCCATAATATATTTTAGAAAAAAAATTCATCCACACACTTTTTAAATAAATATATCTTCAATNCTAAAAAAATGAGAATTTCACTCGCACCGATTCTAATTTATCATATTTTTAAACACACTTTCTTTATTTTTTGAATTTTAACTGACACCTTCTGTCATCTGTTAGATTAAAAGTATTAATTAAAATATAATTTTACTAAATTCTCCATAATATATTTTAGAAAAAAAATTCATCCACACTTTTTAAATAAATATATCTTCAATGGAACATCCTCTATTTTTAAAAAAAATTTCCATATTAAAATTTAGGTCTATTAAAATTTGATTCAAGTTAGTTAAAATTTATTTTTTATGTATTAAAATTTGAGTCAATTAAAAATTACATTTTTTATATATTAAAATTTAATATGATTAAAATTTTAGTCGAGGCTCAAATCAAATTTTAATCAACTCGTATTAAATTTTAATTGACTCAAATATTAATACGTAAAAAGCAAATTTTAATCAACTTAAATTGAATTTTAATAAATAAAAAAATATATAAATTTTAATCGAGGCTAACAACTCAAGCAAAGCTCAAATTTGCTTGAATTTTAAAAAATTTAATCAACTCGAATCTAATTTTAATCGATGCAAATTTTAATATGTACAAAAATTTTAATCAGCTTGAATTTTAATATATAAAAAAATAAATTTTAATCGACTCGAATTTTATGTAAAAAAAATTGTTTGAAGTTTATGTAAAGGTAATTTTGGTATTTGAGATAATTTATTTTTGTTATAAATTGTGGTTTAATGGTAAAGGGTGTCAATAATGTTTAAATATAAATTAGAAGTAGTGTGACTAAAAGTTTTCCAAAAACAAATTATTCCAAATTTATTATATTTGTGAGTGTTTTTACTAATGTTGTCGTACCGAAAAAAGTTACGAAAATACCTACAAAAGTAATAAAAAAAATTTTATTATAAAATAACTCACAAAATTATAATCATAACCGTTAATATTTATATAATTTCTTTTTGTTTTTTTTTTTTT